AGTACTTCCACTTTTACCAGAGTATTTTTTAACACAAGTATCTGTACTTTTACTCAAGTACGGAAAGTGAGTACTTTTGCCATCTCTGCTGTCAATCACCTGCACTACAACTGTGAGGACAGTTTCTGTAACCTCTCCTAAACCTCTGTATTGCAGAGGAGCTACTGCACATGTACATCATGTAACGAGAGTCAGTGTGCAAAGATTTCTGCGCCCTAGAGCGGAAATACGTCACCGATCCCAAAAAAAATGAAAACAGCTTTACTCATCATTAAATATTAAACATTTTTCTTGCACATCTAAAAAAAAAAACCTAGAAATTTCGAAATATTTACATTTTTTTTTTATCTTAATCAAGGTGGGGTGGCACTCTAGCACCCTCTATTGGCCAGCTGCCACTGGTTTTAAAGTTTTTTTGCTTTTCTGTCTTTTATTCTCTCATGCTCTGTCCCTCTCTCAGACTCTCTCTCTTCCCCTTAATTCTTATCCTCTCACCCTTTCTTCCTGTCTCTTTCTTTTCTGTGTATTTTTGATGTTGCATGATGCAAACCTCTGAGCTAATGGCTACAGCTGACTAAAGCTGACAGCTAAAGTTAGCTTCCCCGAGCTAACCTACTAAAAACAGATAAATGCTGTGGAGGAGCGATTCCTCAAGTAGTTCCCACAGGAAATTGCACTGATTTACCCAGTCAAGGATGTACGAATATAAAAACGGGGCTGTGATAGCGATGATGAGGTCCCTAGCTGTACGAGTCTGGCTGGAATTGGCTCGCTCTAAGTCAGGTTGATTTGTTCACGTGGTCAGGCTGTGTAGTGTCCATTGAATTATTCAGTCCTGTGGTTAGAACTGGTTAATTCAGCGAACGAATCTTTCCATCACTACTATTCAGCCTTCCTTAATAAGTGCCTAACAGCAGGGGGTCTAAGCACCCAAAACAGGAAGAGGTGACGTTGTAGTAAAAGCAAGAGTGACTCTTTTGGGTAAAAAAAAAATAGAGTTATTTCCTCATAGATTAACACTCTATAGCGCTAAAGTCAATGGTTCTTGATATATGTTGACTTTGGAAGGCTTGACAACTGGAGCCTTATCTGGATTGAGAAGAACACTGGTATTTAAAAAAGCCCATAATGTTCACTTCATTATCCAGACAAAGAGTTTCTGTCTATCTTTTCACCTCCGCTGTGAGAGTACATCATGTTTAGGATACATTGTTTGACTAGTAGAAAAAGATTTTTATAAAGTGCCTGCAAGCCAAGCGTCACATCTCCTGAGCATTAACAGCTAGCAGAGAAACCTACTTAAGAAAGCAAGGGTTTTATCCCGGAAGGGAAGGTGTTTTCTAATCTCTCTAATTCATCATCCAGGGACTGCACAGGCAGCAATAAGCTCATGCCTAGGAGCAGCCACTGCAGAGAGGAGCAGCACCGAGACATACTGTAATCATTTACTCCCTCTGCTGAGCCAAACTGTCACTGCATGAGTCATGAAGCCTCCTCGGGCAATCCACAGGGCTGCGGGGGGGAGAAAAGCCCGCCCACATGGCCAGCACCGATCTCATGTCACTGCACATGCCATCACAGCAAAGGCAAGGTCAGGCCCGCACTATTGATCCCCTGGTACTGACCTTAAATCTTTGCAGGGTGTCGATGTCGTGGGCTGCATCCTGAGAGGCTGAAACAGCAGAAACAACTCAATGAGAAGGCAGATGGCGGGCATGTCCCTATAGAGTGCATTCAACAGCTTCTAAACATCTAAAAGATTGGGAAAATCTGATCATATTCACTTATAAAAACAACAGTTATCTTTCTTTTATGCCTCTTCGGGATTTGAATGAAATGAAAACCAGGCTGTGTGAAAGAAGATATTAGGTGTTTTTTTTAACAATCCTGTGTTAGTTTTGGATCAGAAATACAACAAATTAGATCAGATATAACTCATTAATGTTGTTTATAAAGTTAAGAGCGCCTCAAAAGTCTTCACACCTTTAAAATGACACCTGGATTTATTTTCACATTTAAAAAATGGAGCAAATGTGTTGGTGCTGATACTTTTTTGAGAAAAGTAATTCTTATTAATAAAGTATCTGAAGAACAAAAACATTTATCTATAACACAACTACACAAAAATAGTTGATATTTAGTATTATTTTAGGTTAAATCAATGTAGATTAATTAATTGACTGGATCAATACTTTTTTCCCCCTTTTGTTTGGTTGAAACTAATTATATATATCTCAAATTAGAAAACAGTTATTTGGACTTAGGTCTAGTAAAACACATGATTTTATTAGTTATTAGAATATGAATAATTCTAGAGAATAGAAATATTCATCATGTTTCTGCACTAGCCACAGCCATTACCATCTGGTCTTATTGACATACTCGACACAAGTACTTCCTCATCCCCATTAAGTTTTTCTTTGTTTAACTTATTTAAGTTAAGCAAATAGTTGAGCCTAATCCATAAGTGTATGTTCAATACATGTTACATCAACTCAACACGTTTTAATTAGCATTACTCATTCTAATTACCTATGACTACTAACTACTGCATTTATTGATGACTGCATTTATCGTGCTATGGTGGATAAATGATGCTTGTTTCTATGTAATCTTTCATACCCTTTCTGCAAACAACGGCTTAAACCATACCCATAAAAATGTTGGAAGTCTGGAAAGCAGGACAACTGAACTTTAAGGGTTAAGCAGAGTTCATAGATGTGAACAACTAATGAGTCAATGCTGAAACTGGATGAGGGTCTAAGTTTAAGGCTGTGAAGCAGATTATTCCCAAACTGATTCAGTTTAGTTTGGGTTGTGCACTGTGATGGACTGGCCACCTGTCAGGGTGTACCCCGCCTTTCTTTTTTCATTTGTTTTTTTTTCTTTTTTCTCTGTAGACCGCTGGAAATGAACAACAGCCACACTGTGACCCTGATGGATTAAGCAAGATAAGGTGGTTTTCGTCCAT